ATTGCTGGTATGAGCCTTTGTTTCTCGGTGGGAGCAGGCAAAGGCTGATTCTTTTCTTTTTTTTTTTTTTGGGTTGGTCTGGGATTTAAACTCTGGGCTTTGCACTTGCAAGCAAACACTACCGCTTGAGCCACTCCTCCAGTCCATTTCGCTCTGGTTATTTTGGAGATGGGGTCCTACGAATTGTTTGCCCAGGCTGGCCTCAAACCTCCATCCTCCTGATCTCAGCCTCCCAAGTAGCTGGGATTACAGGCGTGAATCACTGGTGCTGGTGGTATTAACACATTTAAGATGGCACCTTGCAGCCGAATTGTCACCATGTTCCCTAGATCATCAGTCTTGGCTTTAGTTTTCTCAGTATTTGTCATGAAGTTCTGAATGCTCGTGTAGGACCTGGGTACTGATCTGTGTTCCTGTCCCTTTCTCTTGCAGCATAATTCTCTGTGTTGAAGGACAGTTTGTCTTCATTTATGTTTTACTTTATCCTTCTTCTCTGGCATGTCATCTGGGTATGGGGAGCTCCTGGCATGGAGTGGTTGGAGACCAGGGACTCTGCTCTGCACCCTACAGGGCCCAGGACACTCAATAGAGATGAACCTGGCCTTGGTGTCTCCAGTGCTGGGGGCCCTGGGCTGGCCAGATCTTTCTCTATGGTCCCCTCCTGAAGTTCCATGGTCCCTGGCTCTGTGTGGTCCTTGTGCGCATTGCAGGCTGGAGTCTTTGTTTAGGTGATGACAGGGCACTGGGGGAGGAGGAGGAGTGTCCTTGTCCTGGACTCACAGACACAGTGTCCCTTTTCTGCAGGAGGTGAGCTTAAAGCCGGGCCTGGGCTCCTATCCTTTAGCTCCCAGGCCAGCTGGGGCCTGGCAGCGCCCAGGAGAGCACTGTCTGTAGAGCCCCTCACCCAGGCCATGCTCAGCCTCGCCAGGCCCCAGCCTGCCTGGCCCAGAGGCTGCCTGTGGTCACTGGTGTGCAATCCGTGAGCTATGACCCTGTCTCCAGCCCTCAGCCCCCGCCACCTGCCACTGGGCTCGGGCAGGCCTCCCGTGTCTTGCAACAGGCGGCTGTGAGAAGGTGCCTGGTGACTCAGTGCCCTGCCTGTTTGGCAGCTGTTGATTCCTCGGTAGGGAGCATGGCCGGTCCATGAGTCAGGGACTGGCCGATGACACTAACCACAGCAGGGACATCAGGAGGACACAAGTGATGCGTAGTGTGTGAGTCCCATCTGAGCGTGAGCAGTTGCACATGTGCACACATTCTGGAGCACATCCAATAACGCCGTGCTCGGACACATGCAGACAGGCACACGGTGCACAAGTGCACACGCACATCGGTACACAGAGCTGCATCCATGCACTATGCACATACACCTATGCACACTGGCACATGTGCAGAGTTACATGTACAATGTACACACACAGAGGTGTGTGCATGCTTGGGGCCTGGTGACAGTATTCCTGAATTAGAAGATGCACATGCAGAGATACAAACTTGCATGCATGCAGACAGCCAAATGCCTATACACGATGCATGTACATGCATTTACAAGCAGACATATATGTAGACTGACATGCACACGTGAAGAGATAAGCAGAGACACACAGGTGCAACTGTATGCGTGCACACAGCCCAAACACACATGCACAGTTGTACACAGGGGCATATGTCTGTTTGCAGATACACATGTGTGCGTGGTAAAATGCACGCATGTAGTCATGTACGCTGACACACAGACACGTGTGTACATGTACAAATGTACTCACTGAATACCCCGATGTACGCATACGTACACACATACGTGCAGGACGCGTTGCCACACGCTCACACACACCCTGGCACACGCACACACGCACACGGAACGCAGCCCTCCCCTGCCTTGCTCAGAGCCCGGCTTGCAGCCTGGCCCCCGGGAGCCTCTCGCTGGGTTTTGCCCAAAACAGGAAGGCGGGCGGCTCGGGCTTGGTGCTCACGTGGGAGCTGGGGTGGCCTCCTGGCAGCCGGGCCCTTTCTTTGGTCCTCGGAGTCATTGCGGCTGCGACAGGGAGCAGGCCCCTCCCTGACCGGCGGGATGTGAACCAGAGCCCGCACGCCCGCCCGCTGCCCCCGAGAGGGCGCCCGGTGTCTGCCCGCACCCAAGGGAGCTGGGAGGGGCGGAAGGCATTTCTGGGTTTTAATTGAAACTATGGGACCTCTGTCAAGTCACATTCAGTTGCAAGAAAGAACACAGAGAAACTCTGTGTGTCCTTTGCCCTGGGCCTTCACCTCTCACAGGCTTGGCACCCATGGGGGCTTCAACCCACTGCCAGACTTGGCACCCAAGCATCCCTCTCAGCTTCCTTTTAGGCACACACTGAGCTCCCTGCCCCGGGGTCCCCTCCTTCCCCCACTCCCCCCGCTGCCAACCACTTAATTAGCCCAGCATTGCTGACGCCTGCTGTCACCTGGGGTGTGGAACCATGGAATCCCACAGAACGATCAGCGGGCTTTCCCCTGCAGTCCCCAGGAGATCTGTGCATTCTGAGTTAGTGCTAAGTAGGAATTTCTTGAAAACCTGGTATCTGCCTTTACTTGTCAGCTATGTAGCTCAGCTCCCTGCAAAACAGCGAGACCACGTGCAAATGACAGCCACAAAGTGCTGCTAGTTACCCGGGGCTGCCCAGGACGCGTGATGTGGCGTCTACACCTGCCTCCTCTGCCCCAGCACCAACCCCATGCCGGGCACTGCTAGATGGGTCCTCAGAGCTATCCTGGGTGGGCGTCCTTGACCCTGCAAGGCACTGAGCAGCATCCCGTGTGTCCACCCTTTCCATGCCAGGAGCTCCCCAGTCGTGACAACCACATGTGTCCCCAACATGGCCCTGTGTACCCTATGGGCAGAGTCACTCCCAGTTGGTACTCTCTAGGTCAGGGCTCACCAAATGAAATTTAGAAGAGCCAGGCACAGTGGCTCACGCCTGTAATCTCAGCTACACAGGAGACAGAGATCAGTTCGAAGCCAGCCCAGGCAAATAGTTTGCGAAACCCTATCTCAAAAAAACCATCACAAAAAAGGGCTGGTGGAGTGGCTCAAGGTGAAGGCCCTGAGTTCAAATCCCAGTACCGCAAAAAAAAAAAATGCATTTACCAATTTACCGTGTGACCAGTAATTACAGTCCTCAGTGTTTATCCAAAGACGTCGCTCCACACTGACATAGCACTTTCACTTGTGATAGATTAAAAACTAGAACTGGTCCCAAGGGCCTGCAGCAGGTGGGTGTTTTAACAGGCTCTGGTCCATCCGTACCATGGATGCGTGCGGCGGGGGACATGCTAATCCCAGAGATGACATGCTGTATGGCCTCATTCGTGTAACATTCCTAAAATGACAAAAATGGGGAAAAGAACATGTGTTTTCCAAGAGAGAGTGGTTCAACTGGTAGAGCACCTGCCTAGCAAGCATGAGGTCCTGAGTTCAAACCCCAGTGCTGCCCACCCCCCCCAAAAAAATCATTAAAAACCCAATAACAGCTGGGAGTGGCTATGCATCCCTGTAATCCCAGCACTTGGGAGGCTGACAACCGGAGAGATCCTTGTTCAAGTCCAGCCTGGGCTACATAGGGAGACCCTGTCAAAAACAAACAAACAAAAAATTACATATAAATCCACCATGGAAAGAATATAAAAATCACTCCAAACAGTAACAAAAACGAAATCATTGGCTGGGCACGGTGGCTCACGTCTGAAATCCCAGCTACTCTGGAGTTGAGGACCAGGAGGATCTTGGTTCAAAGCCAGGCAAGTAAGAATCAAGACTCCATCTCAACCAACAAGCCAGGCAAGGTGATTCATATCTAGAATCCCAGCTAAATGGGAGGCAGAGGTAGGAGGATTGAGGTTTGAGGCTGGCCTTGGGCAAAAACACAAGGACCCCACCTGAAAAATAAAGCAAAAAGGGCTGAGATTGGAGCGATACGGCCAGAAGCCAAGGGAAAGTGGAGTCCCGGGTCTGGGCGCAAAGGAGGAGCAAGGAGACGAGGGGACCCTCTATGGCTGTAAGGAGTGAGCAGCCAGTCCAGTCTCTGGGGACCCCAGGCATGGGGTCCTGGAGCTTCTGAACAGGAAACGAAAGCCTTGCTGGGCCCTGCCTTAGAGCAGCTGGGTCGAAACCCAGGTCCCTGGGTGGGGTCTTGACTGACTTCTCGGCCCCACTTCCCCAGGTCTGGCCCCAGCCACTCGCTCCCAGTGAGGACAGGGGCTTTTTACAGCCCTCTTTACATTCACTCTCAGCACCCTGCCTGGCAGGAGGCCACAGTCACCATTCTCTGGGCAGGTTTGTTGAGTGAATGAGTGAAAGAAAGAGACTCAGGCCCTCTAAAGAAGAGGGCACCTGTGCTGGCTCCCCAGTGACCTGCCTCAGTCCATAGGCAGTGATTCTCACCCACAACTGTCCCCTGGGCTGTGTCTGGGAAATGTATGGCTGTCACAACTGATATGGAGTGGGTGGCTGCTCAGCACCCTGTAGGGCCCAGGACGCCCAGCACAGAGAAGGACCTGGCTCAGTGTGCATGGTGCCAAAGGGTGACCCTGGAACAGGGCAGAGACCAGAGAAAACCCCAAGGACTGGGGGACATGGCTCTGGTAGAGCACCTGCCCAGCAAGTGCAAGGCCCTGAGTTCAAGCCCCAGTCCCACCAAAGGAAAAAAAAAAATTTGCAAGCAGAGAAAAACCCTAATGCTCATTCTGAGCCAGGTCTCTGAGGACGCTTTACAGTTGGGAGGATGAGTGTTGACCCCTGACCAGCCACAGGAAGGGACTGCCTGGGGCACCATACTCAGCTGGGCTGCCAACCCACACACACCTCACCCAGGGCAGTGGCTCTCAGACACCCTGGCCCATCCTGGGGCTGCAGGGTAGCAAGGCAGGCAATCCGGGAGGGCTTCCTGGAGGGGCCTCCCCCTCTCCTCCTTGGCCCCCAGTCATGGAGCGTGGCTACCCAGCTCATGTCTGTGTGTCCTCCACAGCTCTCTGGACGGTGGGGACCCACACCGATGGCCTACGATGTCAGCCACTAACAACATAGCGCAGGCCCGGAAGCTGGTGGAGCAGCTGCGCGTCGAGGCCGGGATCGAGCGCATCAAGGTGACTCCCGCTGTGTGACTTCACACCATGCAGCCATCCCCGCCATCCAGTTCCAGAACTTTCCATCATCCAAAGACAGCCCTGTCCCCATAAGCAGTCACCCTGCCCCTCCCCAGCCCCTGCTCCCCACAAGTCCTGTCCCTGGATCCTCCTGTTCTGGCTGTGTCCTATCAATGGAGTCACACGCTGTGTCCTTGTGCATCTGCTTCTCTCACTGAGCTCCGTGTCCTCAAGGTCCTTCCATGCTACAGCTTGGGCCAGAGCCTCACTCCTTTTCCTAGCTCAGTAATATTCCGGTATGTGGATGAACTACAGGGTGTTTTTATGTACATGAATTTTAAGTCCACATAGGGACATCAGGGTGACACCAGGCTCAAAAGTATCCCCTTGGACCCTTGAGCCATCTTGACCTCATACAGGTGAATGGTGCTTCACGGTTTTCCAAGGCCCCCCTCACAGACCTGAGTCCATTTTGTAAAGGATGGTGAAACACTTCCCAGAGGCCGTTCCCTGCCCCAGAATCACTGCTGCCTGTGGCTGGAGGGACCTGGGTGTGTCCCTGGGGAAGACCGGGTGGCCTAGCCCAGCTGCAGCTACCCACTGTGTTAGTCAGAGGGAGAACAAGCAGAGAGAGAGAAAGAGAGTGTGTCTGTGTGCAGCTATGCATAATGGCATTTCAGTCGACAAGGGGCACACACCACACTGCACCGCGTACCCCATGTATAGAGCGGGCTGTGTACCCCATCTTGGCTTACCTGAGGACTCTGTGATGCTCGCACAGCAATGGGACTGCCTAACAATGCCCTTCTCAGAACGTAGCCTGTCGTTAAGCTGTGCGCCCCCCCCCCCACACGCACACAGACGGGGAGGCTGAAGACTTGGCTCCCACCGATGTGTGGGCTGTAAGTCTAAAATTCGTAGAGTCAGCCCAGCAGACTGGGAAAACTTGATGTTTCCATTCAAGTCTGCCTAGAGACAGAATTCCCCTCTTGGTCATTTCTCTTCCTGCCTTCAACTGATTGGACAAGGCCCACCCACATGAAAGGGTTATTGGCTTTACTCAGGCTCTCCTAATTTAAATGTTCATCCCATCTAAAAATTACCTTCCCTACCACATGTAGGGTACTGTGTGGCCAAAGAGCTGAGCCCTCAGCCTGGCCAAGTGGACATACAATGTTCCCCATTTACCAACCCTCCCCAACACACACACATAAGCACCCACTATTCGTTCAAACCTCTCTGCATTATTAGGAAGGGATGGCCTGCTCCCAGGTGCTCCCAGCTGGGGACACACCTGCTGGCCAGGTGGCAGGGGAGTCGGAAAAGGATTCCATCTGTCGAAGGTTCCCCCACGTCTCCCCCACCCTCCCCGAGCCTCCTCGCCACGCATCCATCCATGCGGGCAAGGAGGGCCCCCCACGGAACGAGTGCCGACTGTGAGGACAGCATTCGCCGCAGTGCTTCGGGCTGAAGACAGAGAAAGGCCCGGTGGAAGTTGACGTGGTTTTCCCTTCGTGGGCCGCGCCAGCCCCGGGGCCCCGCGGAGGGCAGTGATTCATCCTGTCCCGTTTGATGTCGGGAGGAGCCCCCCACCGCCCCTTTGAAAGTCTGCGGGTGGCGGAGGGGGGGTCAGGACTTAGCCTGGTCCCCCTCCTGAGGCTGTCTGTGGTTTTTTGTCGTCCCAGAGCAGGGAGTAGAGCCACAGAGCCTCGGTGGCAGAGAGGACGACCTCAGGGTTGCAGCCTCTGCAAACGCGGGTGGGGACTGTGAGGAGGGGCTGGATGGTATTCCTGGGGTCGGAGACAGAGGGTGGCTTTCCAGCCAGAAGGCTCTTGCGGGCTGGAGCCCTCAAGAAAGCTCACAAGAGTGGCAATTTTCACGTCTGTGGGCAGGCACGTCCCCGGGGATGGCCAGCTTGGCCGAGCTCTGCAGCCAGCCTGGGGGAAGCACCAGAGGACGAGGTTCCTGGCGTCCCTGGGGTCCCAGGGTTGGTGAAGATTTAAGACAATCTGCAGATAATGAATAAAAAGTTTTATACTGGTGCTCAGCCAGCACCAGTGTCTCACTCCTGTAATCCCAGCTACTCAGGAGGCAGAGACCAGGAGGATCACGGTTCAAAGCCAGCCCGGGCAAACAGTCCTCAATACCCTATCTTAAAAAAAACCCTTCACAGAAAAGTGCTGGCGAAGTGGCTCAAATGGTACCTGGCTGGGATCCCAGGCAGGTGGACATGTCCCCAGCTCCCCCAACCCATTGGCACCTAACCAGCCCTCCAGCCATGCTGGCGTGAGCATGGTGAGATGTGGCCAGTGACAACCTAAGGCAGAGGGTCCCACTGTGATGGGAAGGAGCAGCTGCCAGGGGTCACCGTGTCCTCAGTGAGCTCAGGATGCAATTCAGAAGGGCTCGTCTGGTGCTGATGGGAAACACGCAGGAGGAGGCTGGTGGCCTTTCCTGGAGTGGACATGGAGCTGGGACTGAATCTGAGGAGCCTGGTCTGTCCCTGGTCCTTTCTTCAAAGCCTGGCAACTCCTATTGACCGATGCAGTGGTTCTTTGTTTTTATGTTTTTTTTTTTTTTTTTTTTTTCTTCAGTTCTGGGGATGAACCCAGGTCCTGGCACACACTAGGCAAGCACTCACCCCTGAGTCACACCCCTGTCCTCATTGGTGACACTTTGTATATTTACAATGTTGTGCAATCATCACGACTGTCTACGCTCAGAGCCATCACCCCCAGAGGGAGCCCCAGCCCCTACCCAGCCCCGGTCTCCACGAATCCACTTCCTGCCTGTGGACTCTCCTGTTCTGGATGTTTCCTACCAATGGAGCCACACATTGTGGGGCCTTGGGTATCTGCTTCTCTCACTGAGCGCCGTGTCCTCAAGGTCTCCTCACGCGGTAACCTTGTTCGTGGCTGAGTAATATTCCAGTGTGTGGATGGATTACACTGTGTGTGTGCACGGGTCTACTGTGGACACTGGGCTGTTTCCACCTTTTGGTTGCTGTGAACTACAGTGCCATGGTCATGCCTGCTCCAGCCCTTCTGACAGTCCCTCTCTCCTCCTTGTCCCCACATACAGGTCTCCAAAGCCTCATCGGAACTCATGAATTACTGTGAGCAGCACGCCAGGAACGACCCCTTGCTGGTTGGAGTCCCTGCGTCTGAGAATCCATTTAAGGACAAGAAACCTTGTATCATTCTATAGTTTTGTTCTCTTGTGTGCTCTTCTCTCTCCCTCTCTGTCTCTTTGTCTCTCTCTCTCCCTTTTCTCCGTCTCTCCAGCAGAACATCCTCCAATTCTTAGTTCAAGAAAAACGTCTGAGTTCCCAAAACTTTGAAACGCAAATTTTTCCCCTGCCTTGATGGGGTAAAAATTTAGACCCAGCATCTTAACCCCTTACGAGCCTTGCCAGACCAGGGCTGGTGGCTTCACGACCACCTCCAGTAGAAAACACCGGTGAGGCCAAGCAATGTGGTAACAAGTTTCCAAAACTCGGAAGTGCTGCTTGAATGGCGGCCTCAGAGCCAGGAAGGAAAGGAGAGTCAGTTGAGCTGGCCCGGTGGCAGGCTGGTAACCATGTTTAAAAAAAAAAAAAAAAAAAGTCTATAGCAGGCTGCTAGGAGACTTTTTTTAAGCAGAGGTCAAATTGGGGTGGGAGCAGGGGGTCGGCCATAATGAACTTTTCTGGAAAAATCTGTCTTTTCCATTTCAAAAATTGTTATTGTGTCCTGCTAAAATCGGACCCCGAGGGCTAAATGCATATGTGAGGTACAGGCAGATTTGTGGAGTGGGAGAGGGGACTGTCTGTGACACACACTCCGTGTGGCCAAAAGTCAGCCCCCAGCTTCGTCCCTTCCCAAATCTGTGTTGTGTCGTTGTAAACCCAAGATTGATGTGGTCATTGGTGTCTCTCTGGGTTTTCCCCCAGTGTCTCTGGTCACCACGGTCCTATTTCACCCAGAGACGCCAGCCAGGGAGCCTCGGCCTGGCCTGGTGAGGTCGCCTGTGTTTCAGCGTGAAAAAGTTGTTAAACTATCTTGAAAGCGACTGTAAAGAACTGTCAGAGACAGGGTCCTTCGTCCCCAGACATCGTGACTGTGGCTTGGCTCTCTCCCCTTCCTTCTCTTGATGCATTGATTGACTTTTCCACCCCGGTGAGCCCAGGACCCGTGGTGTACAGACACCAGTCTTAGAAAACTATGATGTCATGGGGCTGAGGGAGGTGGCTTTTTAGGCTGGCTTTGTCCTCTCTTGTAACAGTTACAGGTGCAGCTGGCAGGAGGAAGAGGCTACATGCACATTCTCCTGTGTCAGCCAGTGTCACACCTAAGCAGCTGGGTCCCCCGCAGCACTGAGGACTCGGGAGTTTCCTGTGACCCCAGTCCCTTTGCATAGGACTGGCTGGAAGCAAATAGTGGAAAGGAAACTGGCCGGGTTCTGCCCCCAGGGAAGTCAGACTCCTAGGGTCTGACCAGGGTGGGCCCTGGACAGCTGCTCACGTTGTCTTTGTGGACAGTGAGTGAGGGCAGCACCTGCAGCCCTCCACAAGTGACCCGTCTCCTAGGGCAGGGGCCAGGGTCCCCAATCCTCTCTATGGGGCCAGAGTGACAAGGTGTGGACAGGACACAGGTCAAGAGAAGCTGCAGGTACCAAGGGTGACCCTGCTGTCCCCCTGCTTGGGCTGGCTCCTGGGGGGGTACAGATAGGGCCAGGCCTCTCCCCAGTCGTACCCACTCTCTATGGCAGGCTGGGGAGCACCAGGGGCTTTGGGGAGCCCCATACTCTGGACCCACAGTTTGGATCAGGAGAGCCTCAATGTCTTTCCAAAACTGTAGGCACCTTGCATCAGGCTGGGAGCTGGCCGGACCCAGGGTGGACCTCTCCGCTGCCCCTAGCAGGAAATGGCAGAAAGGCTTCCATAAACACACGTTCCAGAAGGCCAGGGCCCTCCCTGGGGACAAGGGTGGGTGGGGATGTTAGATACCCATAAAGCCATTTGCTGGAGGGAGGTGGTGTGTCTGTCCAGAGGACGGTGTGTCTGTCTGTCCAGAGGCTGCCCCGCCCCAATGCAGCCCTTTCAAGGGAGCCATCTTGGTCCCTGGGGACTCATGCCTTCCCATCTGTCTTTAAAAGAAGCCTTAATCCCTTGAGCGGCCATTGCGTCCCTGCACGGCTGTCCCTTCCTCCCCTGACAGCATCCAAGGTCCCCAAGCCACCAGGCTCCCGAGAAGACATCAGACCCTGATCTCAGCACTGACAGCATGAACCTCCCTCCTCTGCTGCCCACACAGGACAAGAGGGCACAGCTGTGCCTAGCCCAGTCCCGAGCGTCCCTATGGATGTGACCTCAAGGACGCTGCTGGACAGATCCAGGTGGCCAGGACCCCTGGACCAAGGGAAGCGGTTAACCCAAGCTTCTAGACTGAGCCAAATAACAGGCTCTCCACTCTGTGTCCCAAAACCATGGCCCTGTGCCCCACAGAGTGGAACCTGCACAGGGTTAGGGAACTGGGGGCCAGGAATTGTAGGTAAACTGAGGCCCAGGGAGGTGAAGGTTTGCATCTCTGCAAATTGGGCCTTGGCTTCCCCTCCCTGGGTGGTCCCTAACCACTCTATCTGTCCCCTGCCCAGCCTCCTTGTGCATGTGCCACCACCCTGTCCCCAAGCCCGGTGAACAGATGTCCACAGCCTCAGAAACCCAGGGAGGTGGTGACCCAGGAGACTATGAGTTTCTTTCCCTGCTTAGGAAAAAATATCCTTGTGTTTTTTTGCTTTTTGGTTTTTTTCCCTTCTAGAGCAAATCCCAGAGCCCTTACCATGGGTAAAGCCATCTTTGCAGGCTGGAAGCCTGGTGTGCGTGCCGATCCCTGGTGGTCCTTTGACACGTTCTTCCTACGAGTTTTCAGGGTCGTGATTGCTCCACCCTGAGGTCTTGGGGTAAACCAGTGTCTGTCACCCGTTTTCAGGGGAAAACAGATTTCACGATGCTTCTAACTGCACCCACCCATGCCAAAAATGATGGCGGGTGGCGGGAGAGATGGAGCTGTCCCTGTCCCCCACAGCTGGCTCCATTCTCTCCACAGGGCCTGTGCCAATGCAGGTGCCAGCTGCCCCTAGCAGTTCCTAGCCAGCCCCTGTCTGGTCCGCAGCTGGGCAAAGGCCAGGCAGCCCTGTCCTTCCTGTGTGCCCACTCTGGGAAGGAATGAGGACCCATATTTTTCCCCCACAGTTCCCAAAGGTGACCCCCCAGGCCACCTGAGGCTCCCTGGTGGCATCTGACCCCCAGGAGACAGCGGAAGGTGCTTGTTTTTTTTCTCTTTCTGCTGTGTCCCGCTGATGGTCTGGCCACCGAGTCTTTGCAGATGCTGAGCCCCCAGGCCGCTCCTTGACCTGGCCATGACTGCCACAGCCCCATCTGAGCCACCCGGGAAGGGACAAGCCACCAAGCCATCGCTCTTCTTTGAGGGACAATTGTAGAAAGAAGTGGACGCAAGGTCAAGTCCTGCATTGAAGCCATACGCCCCGAGACCCTGTCTCTCTCCACCACAGAAACGTTTTGCCAAATGACACCCAGACGGCTCCCTGTCCCCAGCTCGAGAGCTTCCCGCAGGCTCTCTGCCTTCCGTGGTCGGCTGTCCGGTGGTTTATTTGATTGGTTTTAATTGCAGGTGTGCACACCCGCACACTCGCCACGCCGCCGTGCATTGTGCGGGATTACTGTTAGCACCGAGTGAATTCGCACACAATAAAAGCCTCTGTCTTCCTTTTCCCCTGGCCTCTGGGCTCTTCTTTCCCTGGGGCCCAGGGTGGACCTGGGCTGTGTGCAGGGCACATCAAAAGTGTTTGTCCAAATGATGGACTCACTCCTTCTTGCCTGCAACCCACCCAGATGCAGAAGTGCTTTGGGGTCTCCGGCTGACAGGCACAGGAGACCCGAGCTGTCACACGCTGCCAGGGAGCCTTGAGGCTGGTACAGGCCTTTCTAGAAAGTGCTGTGGCGATTTACTCCAGGTATGTCTATGGACACAAGTGGCAGGGATGACCCCATTCGCAGGCAGATCCAAGCATAAAGGCTTATTTCCCCACTGTGTGTGTGGTTGTGTGTGGTTGTGCTTTTCGATACTTGCAGCCCTCAAAATGTTTGTAATTTGAACATTTGGATGGAACACACAGACCATAAAAATAACCCTTTAAGCCAGGCACGGTGGCTCACACCTGTAATCCTAGCTACTCAGGAGGCAGAGAGCAGGAGGATTGCAGTTCAAACCCAGCACAGGGATAGTTCATAAGACCTTATCTCGAAAAAATCTGTCACAAAAAAGCCTGGTAGAATTGCTCAAGGTGTAGGTCCTTGAATTTTATATATATAATATATATTTTTTTTTTTTTTTTTTGCAGTACTGGGGTTTGAACTCAGGGCCTTCACCTTGAGTCACTCCACCAGTCCTTTTATTTCTGAAGGGTTTTTTGAGATAGGGTCTTACGAACTATTTACCTGGGCTGGCTTCAAACCTCGATCCTCCTGATCTCTGCCTCCTGAGTAGCTGGGATTACAGACGTGAGCCACCAGTGCCTGACTTACTGATTTTTGTGTGTGTGACGCAGGGTATCACTATGTTGCTCAGGCTAGTCTTGAACTCCTGGCTCAATTGATCCTCCTGCCTCCCAAGTAGCTGGGACAACAAGCATCTGCTACCTCACCTTGCTAAAAATAAACCGTTTAAAGCACAATTAGTGGGCAGGTGCAGGGGTCATGCCTGTAATCCCAGCACCCAGGAGGCTGAGGCAGGAGGATGTTCAAGTTCAAGGCCAGCCTGGGCTACATAGCAAGATCCTCAGAAAGCAAACAGAATAATAATTATAAATAAAAACATAATTACCGACATTCCTGGGGGTTGTCGGGGCTCTCCTCTGTGACCACAGGACAGCGCTCTGCACACCAGGCCAAATCCTGGCCTTCACTGAATCCGCAGACTGGGCTGTGGTCTGAGTTCAGCAATAGGATGGCAGAGACGGGCCGAGCCGGCCACAGTGACAGGCCAGGAGCGACGAGAGCTAGGCCAGAGCCTCAGACACCACCCAGGACCACCTTACACATGATGGCAGCAGAATTTCAGACAATAGTGTGGGGACAACCACTGGGCTTTCTGACAGTGGCCTGCTTCGACACGTGACCTCCACTCCCTCACTCCTGTGGCTGCTGAGAAACCCATCCCAAACCTGGTGACTGAAAAGAGCACAAATTTATCAACTCACAGTTCTGGGCTCAGAAGTCCAACACAGGCCTCCTGGCCCACAGCCCAGGTGAGGCAGGGCAGCTCCTCCCGGAGGCTCCAGCAAGGACCTGTGTCCCCACTCCTCGAGCCCCGCATCCCTCGGCTCGTGGCCCCTTCCTCCCTCTTCAGAGCAGCAGCTCAGGGTCCCCCAGTCCCTCTCTGCCTATGACTTCCTGCCTCCCTCTTACGAGGACCCTGTGTGACACTGGGCCCCAGATGATCCATGGTGATCCCAGCTCAGGGTCTCCCTGTGCCACTGAAGGAGACCTGGGTGGCCCCAGGTTCTGTTTGCTG